CAGACCGAAGCTATTGACCACAATGTCATTGCGGTGGTCGATCTACGGGGGGTGCCTATTATTAGCACAAAGACTGTCATCTAAACAGGGCAAGCCGCCCGGCGGAAAGGTCGGGTTGGGCAAACATACAAAAAAGACATGCACTGAAGGGAATTTCCGGTAGGCGAAGCAATAGATCATCAAGGAGGCCTTGGCAAAGATGGCCACGCCGACGATAACGATGGGGATAATGTGCAGTTGTTCAGAGGCCCGCTTGCCCTCGCCAAGTGAGCGGCCTGACTCGACCTGTTGCGCGCCCCGGATCAGCCATCTCAAACTACCAAGTCATACGTCAACCTGGCGACAAACTTACCAGTAGTTGAATGGCAACGGTTGTCATGAGAGCGCAGAACAAGATGATGCCAATCGTCTCAATCCTGGTTCGTCCCTATTATTTCATCCCCAGTCTGTCAGACCCTGCTTTGGAATCCAATTGCCAAGGGGCGGAGATCTCTGCGAATAACTCACCACCGGGTACTTGTAAACGCTCGGCCGCGCCGCCATCCTTGAGGTGATGAGCATCACAAAAGATGAGACCAAGTCCATCTGGGCATTTTCTTAGTACAACTCCTCCAATAATGCCGCAACTCAGGAATTATGATTCTCAACTAACAAATGCGTCCGCTGCAGTGGCAAAAAGCTGGAGAATTCACGAGTCAATAAAGGCCGTGAGCACAAGGACTTGGGTGTCCTATCTTACCGACAGAGACCCAGTTGAGACGGCCGCGTAGAGCTGAATGACGAACAGGCAGAAGTTGACTGTGAAGGAGGCGTTGACTGCGAACTTGATCTTGGGACCCATTCGCGCGTCTTCGGCGACCTGCTGTCTCTCCTCGTCCTCGGCGCCGAGGAATTGGTCAATGAGCTCATTCTGCCTGTTGTAGAACTTTTTTAGTTTCCTCTTGTTGCCCTTGGGATGTTCAATCTTCATCTGCTTCTTGGAGACATTGTCACGACGGTGTCGACCAAAGTCGTAGGGGTCCGGCCGATAAGTATCGACGGTGGAAGCGTCCGTGGCGTCGACGTTGGAGTACGGGCCGTCGCCGCCGCCTCTCTTGGAGGAAGTTCTGACGACGTCGCTCTTGTTGGCTGCTGTGTCGTTCGAAGTCGATACGAAGAGTCCTTCAGTCACAGCTTTGTCGTCCGTGCCAGATGGCTGAACCGGTGAGATGATGTCTGCGCTGCCCTTTAGGTGTTCATTGTGTTCCTTGTTCGCTTCAGCTTTCGAATTACTTTCCGAATGACCGACAGAGTTGCCTCGAGCTGAGGCGACTGAAGCACAATGGTCAGCGGGGACTGGTCGACGTGTGAAAGAGTGGGATGAAGTGAAGCAGTGGCCACCACGGTTTTTGGTGGTCAGTGGTCACAGAGTAGGGCCAGCGGCAGGGAAATCCGATGCGAGTAGCAGTCGCACATCTCTGCGAGGATGTGATGAACCAGCCAGCAGAGTGGAAGGACAGGATAGGATAGGTGAGGCGAAGAGAGCATAGCGGGAAGGGGTGGGAAGGGGTGTGGCCAGGAAAACAAAGAGACAGAGCCGAAACCCACGTACTAGATGATGGTTGGACGCCGTCCTGAGACTCGCGTGGAGTTTGCATTTTTGGGAACTATTGAGCTGGGTTGGTTCTTGGGTGAAATGGGAAAGTAGAAGGATAGTACAATAGTGAAGTCGATTGTGAGACTGGTAGTCGTATATTAAAAGAGAGTAGATGGCATCCTGTACGGATACGTAGTAGTGTTCTTGATATCATGCCCGCCTCTCCGCAAAGTCCGGGGGGAGGTAGCCGGGCTGCAGAAGCGGCCCCTTATTTCATTGATTATCATCATCAGTAAGCTCTTGCAAGCTTGCCGGTGGCCCTGCCCCCTCAATGCGCACATGTTGAACGGGCTAGAACTTTGAGATTGAGAGGGGGGAAACAAAAAGCACCCTGGACAATGACGGCAAGATTTGAGATGTGGTGCGTGTACAGGAGGCTTTCCCGCTCGTTTCCTGCCATTCCAACTCCACCGTTCCGCCAGTAGAGTGGTGATGATGGCGCACGAGGTGTTGATGTTCAGGGAATCAGGGGGCAGCTATTTGTGTCTTCCTTGTCAGAGACAACTCGTGCCGGTTTGACTTACAAGTGCAAGCGAGGGAGGCATACGCAGTCGGCAGGCGGAGTCGAGAGAGTGAAAGGTCATTTGGAGCCTAGCTTGGAGTCTCGGAGGCGATTATGACAGAGGTGACCCTGCGAGGATGCTCAGAAGCAACGATTATGTCGTTCAAAGTGATGCATAGCTGGACCAACAGAAGCAGGTTGCGGATGGGGAGGATGATCAAGGAAAGGTCCGAGTCACACAACCTACAGGTACATTGGTACATCACTACTGGACTACATTGGCACAGGTACACAGATGCACTGGACCGATTGGCCAGGGGCCGTGTTTCACGCACGACGGCAGACCCAGGAGCCGCGTGGGTGCACCGCAACAGGAAGCGACAGTCCTTCTGCCAAGAGTTTGGGGCTGTTACAGAGTTTTGGACAAAGTAGTAGCTGTAGCGTAATCCAAAGCCAACTGTTGGCTCCCACTGGATGTCGAGGATCTGAACCAGACGGTGAGACTTCGCGAGACTTTCGATACTTCGGCACCACTTCAGAAAGACTCGGGCAGAGTTTGGAAGGCGAGAGCTGAGCGCTCGGAACAACTTGCATGTTTGTTTCAATCCGGAGCAAGAATGAACGACTCCAAGACCCAACATCCCCGCTTTTCTTCGTCTCCAACTTCTCTCTTTCAACTTCACTTCCACACACACACACCTCGGTGACCGGTGACCACTCACCCACTCTCTCACATCACCAACTCGTGCCGGGCTCAACTATCGACTCACGCTCGGATACTATAGCTTTGCCTTCTTACCATCGCTCTCAACAGCAACAACACGCGGGCCCTGTCTCCTGTCTCTCGACTGGCCTCATCTCTTGTCTCTTCTTGTCCACCTCAGACGCCGACGGCTCCTCTTTTCCATCACGTCCCTTGGCTGCTTGGCTCCCCCAAGTTTTACCAGCCCTGCCTGGAAACTCATGGTGCGGGACTGTTGACGACTTCTCGGCGCCAGGATGTCATCCCATCCCATCTCGTGAGCCCATTCCAGAGAGTCATTCGTCACGCCCTCCCTCTCCCTCTCTCTCACCTCTCACTTTTCACTATGGAGTATACACATCAGCCTCCGACTAAGCCCCGACTGCGATTGTCGCGGTGGCTGCGGCTTATTAGGCAAAACTTGCCCTCAGATGTTTGTCCGATATAGGAAACTCTGCACGTGAGACACTCGAGGAGTAGACCCAGAAAAGCCCCGGCAAGAAGAAGCGGAGAAGAAGCAGACGCCGACTAGAAGCAGAACCAAAGGGCAGATGGAGCCTTCAGTCAATCGGTCAGTCAGTCGGTCACCCATCAACCCCGTACTACCAAGCCGCCTACTAAACCACCAAAGACAGCTTGGCTAACCCTTCTCTGCAGAATCGCAGCCAAGCAACCGCAGCCAAGCCAAAATCAACGACAAAATGCCATCCGCTGCCATGGGAAAAGGGGACAAGTGTGTCAGTGCTCTTGGCTTCTCTCTTGGCTTTCGACGGCTTGTGCCTGTCCCGCCAAGTTTCCCCTCTCTCCGCGCCTCCAGTCAAGCCTCCCCCGCGCTTCTTCTTCGCGGGCTGCCCGGGAAGCCTCCCTAGTGACCAAGAGTCAAATCGAGTTAAGAATTTTCCGACTGGCAACCCTGGCGCCAGACCCCGGGAGGCTCCCGTTTCACACAACCCAAATTTTACAAATGCCGGCGCCCCATTTTGACGCGCACCCCACGTCGACTATGGACCCCTTCGCGCTTGGCAATGACCCGATGGAAGATCGACTGTCGTCTCGTTTGGGATATTGCCCATCATCAACCATTATCAGTCCTATTTGCCAAGCGCGACGGATGTGAAGCTGTGCCGAGTTGAGACGAAAGGTTCGATCAGCCACCGCTTACTTACACCCACAGAGGCAGAGTAGCATCCACGCCATCCAACCCATCATCAGGTCCCATACAACTTGTTTCTTATCCGTCAGGTCGAGCCGGGCTCTCAGACTTCCCGTCTCGACTCCCTCCGGCAAATCATGCTATAACAAACAACATCGGATCCGGTCAGCGGCCGGGATCATCGATGCTAGACACAAGCTGGGTCTCAGGCACGCCGCACCGCACAAAGTTGCTCGACTCGACTCAACCGCGGTCGACTTAGCCTACCCTACCTTTCCGCTCCCGCCGTCGTCCTCGCCCCCATACGAATACACACGGTTGTTGCCCACGGTGAACCTTGTTCCCGTTCAGGTCCTCCCGCTTCCCGCTTCCCGCGAGGCGGACGCTAAGGCCACGTCCCCCCATCACGAACCCACCAAGGCTCAACCTCAGCTGCCTCATCCTTGGCAACGTCTTCTATTTCTGAATCGGCTGGGTGGCACAGGGACCGCTGTCCCATGTCAACGTTTATTCTTTCCCTACCCGCCTCTACATGGGCTGCATTGCGCGGGCTGTCATAGGAAGCATATTAAAGCGAGTCGAGCCCAGACTTTGACCAAGATTTCCCTTTCGCCCATCATCAGAGCGTCTGTTGTCGTTCTATGCTTTTATCGCCCGTTTCTTCCTTCCGTTTTTTCCTTTCTCTTCGTTTCCACTCCTTTTTTATTTTCCTTGCTCTCAAACCTACGACAGTCGGGGCCAGATCAGCATTTTCGTCTGTTCTCTAACTGAAGCTGCGGGACAGCTTCTCATGTCCCCTTGTTCTCAGTTGCCTTCGCTTTACGAATGAGTCCTTGTCAGTAGGCGGCCCCGGATTATTTGGCTGCCTCTTACCTTCTCGAACCCTCCTTATCTTTTATTTCAGGATTGCCAATCAAGCAGCAATCCTTTTTGCGCGACAAATACCGGTTTTTTTTTTATAATCAAGATGGACGGAATGAAAGAGCCCAAGCCCCAGTGCGGCGCTAAAAAGGGTGGTCAACCGGCCGAGTATGATGTTGGCCTTCACGTTGCTGGTCTTTGTAAGTTGGCTCCAAAACACTTTCCACTGGTGTCTATCAATTTGGCTAACTTTGCGCAGTTTTGGTCTTGGCCTTTTCGATCTTTGGTATGCGATATAAACAAACGAAACGAGTCCTTTCGTGGGTCGACGTACTAATAAGACCGTTCCAGGCGCCGGTTTCCCCGTTGTGGCCAAGAAGGTCAAGTGGATGAAGGTTCCTCCCAAGGTCTTTTTCGCATGCAAGCATTTCGGTACAGGTGTGCTCATCGCGACAGCGTTCGTGCATGTAAGTTGCTTTGGCTCATTTAGTTGCACAGAACTAACATAACGCAGCTGCTTCCCACCGCCTTTGGCAACCTCATGAACCCGTGCCTCCCGGATCTCTTCACCGACGACTACCCACCTCTTCCAGGTGCCATCATGATGGGATCCATGTTCATTCTGTTCAGTATCGAGATGTGGATCAATGCCAAGATTGGCGGCCATTCCCACGGAGGACCTACTGGTGATGTGATGCACGACCACGGTCACGGAGCCGTCCAGCCTGCCCGGCCCCCTCGTTATGGGCGCAACAGCTTCGATGCCGAGGCGGACAGCATTGACTTTGAGAAGCGAGTCGCACAGCGCGCGTACGACGATGAGAAGTCACGCTTCCCTGCGCCTTACTCGGAGACTGTCTATGGAGCGCCACCACCCGCCAACACCAACTTGTCCGACTCTGACATGCCGCCTTGGTTCGTCGTTTTCTACGAGCAGTATGTGCGCCAGCGTATGGAGATGATGAACATGATCCGAACAACCCAGGAGAAACAGACTTCGTCGCAGGTTGCTGTTACGGAAGTCAAGCAGGAAGATCCGTTTTATGATGCCGAGGGTCAACAGGTTGACCCCGCTGTGTATCGCAAGATGTCTCTCAACATTACCATGCTCGAAGGTGGTATTCTGTTCCACTCAGTGTTTGTCGGCATGACCATCTCCATCACTATTGATGGTTTCATCATTCTGCTCGTCGCTATCCTGTTCCACCAAATGTTTGAGGGTCTCGGTCTTGGTTCCCGTATTGCCGCTGTGCCGTATCCCAAGGGCAGCATTCGTCCCTGGGTATTAGTCGTCGCTTTCGGCACCACAGCCCCCATCGGTCAAGCCATTGGACTCTTCACCCGCAGCAGCTACGATCCAGACAGTGCATTCGGTCTCATCATCGTCGGTGTGTTTAACGCCATGTGAGTTGTTCCGTCCGTTCGTAACATACCTCGGCTAATGTGACCTAGATCCTCTGGCTTGCTGCTCTACGCTGCTCTCGTCGATCTTTTGGCTGAAGATTTCCTCTCTGAGGAGGCCAACCGCCTTCTTTCCAACAAGCAAAAGATTACTGCCTTTTGCTACGTTCTCGCCGGAGGTTAGAAAAATCCACGCAACGTCTTCGCATGTGTACACCACTGACATACTACTAGCTGCGGGCATGTCAATTGTCGGTATCTTCGCCTAAGCCTTTACCGATACCCCCAGGAAGAAAACTTCCTCCACACCCCTCGATCAGTCTCACGCGAGGGTACAAAACACCTAGTCCAGTCAAGCCATTCAACAAGTTTACACGGCTCGCCAGAACACCGAGGCTCATTTCAGCCGATGAACTCCGAACTCGACAGGACTTTGATAGCAGAGATGAACGCTCGTTATCTTTCAAATGCTGCGCCGGATTTTGTCTCACAGGTCGTGAGACGGATTATTTCTCACTATCCACAGCAACTCTCACAAAATCTACCACATTCGTTTTTTCCTTGCTATCCCCGTTTCCCAGCGCAATTTGGAGCCAGGGATTTTGTACAATAGTAGTGATGTGGCGTGCGGTGTCAGAACTTGTCTGCACACGTAGGACCACACAACGAGTGCACACTGGCAACAGGCAATATTGTTTGGGAGATTTTACTTTTCTGGGAAAACCTACATTGAGCATTACAAAGGTGTTAAAACTAATGATAAATTATGGGCATACAACATATCACGAGTCTTATGAGAAAAGACGTGGAGGGCACTTGTACGATAGGGTTGCTCGAAAGGGTCGGGCGCTACATTACTAGACTGCATCAAACATGACGATATCTTTATCAATTTGTTCACGAGAACATTGTGCCTTGTGCCCGTCTAGTCCGATCTCTTCCTCCAGCCATGGATTTCTAAGCGGTCGTACCATGACTTACGGACCCATCAAAGTCCGTCTCCGATCATACCACGAGAGACGATCCACAATGACTCCTATTGAGAATGAAAACGCGAAAGAAGAGGGGAAAGACGCAGACAAAAGGGGATTAAGTAGCCGAACAAGAGCTCGATTAGACTTTCTTCCCCAGACTTATTGGCGTCTGAAATAAAGTAGCATCGGTAACATCGCACATCGATAAGGAGGAGGGCGAGGAGGGAGAGAGAGAGAGAGAGAGAGGAAGAGAGAGAGAAACGGGAAAGAAAAGACAAGATGCCAAGCAGCTTCACAACAGAAGCAGATAGCGGAAACGAAAAAGACCGGAGCAAGAACCCAAGAGAAATAGCCAAGAGAAGTACCAAGAGAGAAAGACGAAGAGACCGAAAGACGACGTTGAGAAAGGGTTGCCGAAGTTTAGTGTGTGCCAGGGACGCGACCCATGATGCAACCATGTTTGCATGGCGGTGGTGGGATGTCAGGCTGCTAGACACGGCTGACCTTGGAAACGAAACCAGCCTTGCTTTTTTTTGTCGCTTCTTTCTTTACTTGCTTTACGTGTAGGTACGTTTGTTTTACACCACACACACACACACTCTCTCTCTCTCTTTCTTTCTGTTTCCCTGCGTCTTTGGACCGTGGACATGACTTGCCGCCGCCTGTCCCTTGCATATCAACGATGTCAGAGACCGGGGGAGGGAGGGACCTAGGGTGTTATGTTTTAACCATGTTCTATATAAGGTTATTACACGGGCCGGAGGATTACTGCATTGTTGAAAGGCAAGGCAAGGGCTGGGGGAGGAGGAGGAGGATGGAAGGAAAGGGGGAAAGGCGTGTTTGTGTGTGCATTCTCTGTGAGGGTTGGTGATGCATGCATGCATGCATGCAAGGCCGGGCTTCCCGCGCGACTACTGCAAGGGGCATGCTTCACAGTTCATGGGATCATTGATGATGATTTTTCTTCTGCTGTTGGCTGCTGTTGGCTGCTGCTGCTGCTGCTGTGGATGATGTTGCAAGGCAGGGTGCAAGGCAAGGTAGACAGGCAGGCAGGCACCTTGGAGTTGGACATGGGAGGGTTGTCGAGGAGGTTGAGGTAGCAGGGGCCCAGAGGGGGGATGGTGTCACTGGTGAAGCTATTAATATGAACCCCAGACAGACATCTGAGGCGGCGAAGGGGAGGGGGGAGGCTCAAAACTCCAGACGAAAAGAAGGAGGTGTAGTGTAGGGCAGGGGGGGGGAGGGGCACGGAGAGTTGGGTTACATGCGGACGGATGAATGGGGGAAGGGGGCAACGTTGGTTGGGTTTGAGGTTTGGCTGCGCTGCTGCTGCAGACTGCACTTCGGAAGTATGCGGCGTACGCGCAGAAGATAGCGAGCGCTTGTTAGGTAAGGTAAAAAATCACGATGACGATGGTTGGTGGTTGTGGTTCTAGAAGTTTTGAATCGCTGTTTCTTGTTGTCTCTGATCCTGCACGCTTTGCTTCTGCCTCAAGGTACGGCTGCAGATCTTGCCTTACAGCAGTAGCTTACCTTAGGTGCATACCTGCATTACCTTGCAGCAAGGCACAGACTGCTGTAGGTACTCGCCGGCGGCCGAATGCACCGCGGCTTGAACCTTTTTGATCCTTTATGAAAAAAAGGAAAAATGAAAAACATCCCGAGAGTCGTTATGTAAAGAAGGTATGTTAGACTATGAGTCTCGTGATGAGAAGCCGAGGAAGGTTTTCCGACCATCTGGGGATACCTAACTTTACAGAGGGCTGTGTAAAGAAACCTAGGATAGAAAAGAGGAGGGGGAAATGCGAGATTGGCTTTGCTTGGCAGGCGTCACTTTTTTTTCTTGCTAAAAAAGGATCTAATCTTGTACGAGTGCCCGATTCTGAGGTTAACCTCATGGAAGACGAAAAGCTTATGAGATGCTTTTTTGGTGCTTGTTTGGAAGGATGAAGCGGGAATCCGGACTTTTGCCAAGGACTAACTGTCTTTCAGCATGGCCACAATACGCATCGTGCACAACTCTGTCCCACCACCCACATTAGACATGGAACAGGGCGAGCGAAACGTTTCTGTCCATGGGAAAAGATGGAGAATAAGTCAAGAAGTGAAGAAAAAGACGAAAATAATGAAAAAAAAAATCAAGTTAAAATTTACAGACCAAGATCGTGCATCTATCCTACATCCGTTGTTCGGTTTCCTTCGGGCAGTTTGGGGAGTTGTGGTTTGACCTCCTAAGACCCCCGCCCCCGCTTCCCTTTGTGCCAGGATCGAGGATCGAGGTTTCGAGTCGAGCGAGAGAGAGAGAGTGAGAAACAAAAGATGGGCAAGTCGTCACGAGGGAAAAACCTGAAGGGTGTGTGTATCAGAAAACGATGGTGAGTGAGATGGGTGGATGGATGGTGGGCACTTGCTTTACAAATACAAAAAGTCTTGGCACGTGTATGATAATCGCCCGATGAGCACGGAAACCGTTCGTAACGACATATTACCTATAGAAAGTATAGCACAGATTATTCCAAAGAAGCAAAAGAAGTAAAACTTGACGACAAATACAATTCGAGCAAAAAGGGGGTTGCATTCATGTAGTACCAAAAGATATAATGTCATGCGGCTTACGACGACCAAGTCGTGCCGGATGCAACGGTAACGGTATAGTATTACGCAGTAATGGTATAGTATATAGCTGGCCCTTCCGAAAGGAAGATTTTCATCCGGTGTTCGAAGCCAGAGATCCGGCCAACCCCCCCCCCCCCCCCGTCCAAGCAGAAGACTCGGACTGGTGACACAGAGATCGGAGGCCACAGAGGTTGGTGTGTGGCAGTGATGGTGTGGTGTGATGATGTGCTGATTTGACGGGCATCTGACAAGACGAGAAACCTGGGAAGATGGAGACCTGTTACTTACCAGAGGGAAAAAAGGGGTGTGAGAAAACGAAACAGAAACTCGAACCGGGAGGTCGAGAGCCGCATGGACTTTGTTAAGCAAGTAGAAGAGAAAAAAGGTTTGCCTGTGGGAGGATGTTGTATTCCGTCATTTTCTTCGCAGGTGTGTGCGAGAGTGTGTGTGGCAAATCTCAGGCAAGACTTGCCTGAAGGGGCCTTTCGGTATTTCCTTCTTCGTCTTCTTCTTTTCTTAGCAAAGACAGTAGATAGAAAGAAAAAAAGAAATCAGACGAAGAAGGGGGCTGGGGTTTTTGCGATGAGATTTCCGAATCTGGTAGAGGGTTAACCAACCAGTCGGCAAACGTGCTTTTCTTTCCAAAATAGCTTTTCTTGCTGTGCTGCCCATGGGAAAAGATTGCCGAAGGTCTTATAAAGTTTAAAGTTTGAGAGGCAGAGAAGTGTTCAAGGCCATACGTCTTTCGTCGGCAGGTGCGGAAGTTTGTACATTTGCCTCATTCGGGTAGTATAGTCACCCTTATTGAAATAGTAAGCAAGTCGAGACGATATGGCTCGAAAGCGAGAGACGATGACGGTGGCTAATCTGATCATAGGGATGCTGATACAGGTTCCACGTCTTTTCTATACCTACCTTAGTGATCGCGCAATGGATGGGAGTTGGCTTAGTAGTTCAAAGAGCTAGATGACTTATGCTCCAGGAACTTTCTGCTCCGCCTTGTCAAAGTTCTCCCTGAAATTTGAGTGAGTTTGCAAGTAGAAAGATTTGAAAGACTTTGAGCGAATCTAACAATGTGGCCGGAAGAGGGTAGTATACTTCAAGACTATGATCATTGAGTTTCCAACATCAACTTTGAAAAAGATGGCCTCTGCCTTTTCGCCCGTTCATCAACCTCAGGAAATGGTGTGATTTTCACAAGGTGCTACTCAGGTAAGATTAGTCTGCTTTACCATGTCCCTTAACAATACGCCTCGGGGAGGACCACCGAGACTAGAAGCCATGGTTGTGAACCGTTCATACGCCTCAACTGTAATGCCATCATCGACTCTTTGAGCCGAACTCTGCCTATCACATAGTTTGGCGCTTTGTCAAGTGTTTTCTCGGCGAGGGCTCTAGTTCGCTATTGTTCGGCGACGTGGGAGGCTAACCGGTTCATCAAACTTGTCATCGAGTAACCCCCATATGTCATCTTTTCATTCAACCATTACACAATATGTACACAGAAAGCGGCCAAGGTGGCCTAGGTCATCGACTGCCGTCAAGAAATCCGACCCTAGAATGTTTTCGGGAAACTCCAACAGACAAAGTCCCCCTAAACAACCGTCACAGTCGCATTCCCGCGGAAATCGTCGCTCGAAGACCCGACAAAGACGGTAAAATCGCCCGGCTCAACCACG